CTTTTCAGTCGTGCAGGTCCAAAGAGTTCTCAGGATTATTGGAAAGCAGAACCTCTTCTTAAGCCCCTGGAATCTGGTAGAGTGCTGACTCTTTAGGTTGTCTCTAGCTGCTGGTTACGTGTTGATTTGTTTTGTCTTGGTTTTACGGTTTAATATTTTGAAAGGGTGAAGCTGGTGTATTTTATTATTGATTCAAGTATGTTGGATCGCTCTGCTGTTTTCTTTGTGATGGTGGAATCACTGTGTGAAATGTGGATATGTGTTTCTGTTTGTCGTAAAGAGGGTTTCGAGTTCGAAGTGGGAGGTTTTATGGTAATTGGCTGAATATGGTTTCTTCTATTGAATGAGTGAAGTTATTGGCTGTGAAATGTGAGAGCAGAAGAAGGAAAGCTTGGTGTTGCTAGGGTCGGTTTCTAGGGCTTTGTGCAGGCTATCATTGATGACATAGTTATTTACAAGATTGCAGCTCAATCTCCGGAAAGATTCCTATTGTTGGGGATTCGCAACTTTCCGCCAGGTTCAGGAACACTCAAAGACCCCACTTCCAAGGCCTCTCAGCGCCAATGAGCCGATCCCAGTCAAAAGAGCCAATCCAAGGCAAATTCCCAGGATTGCACTCAGCTGCGGCTTTCTCTCTCACCCCGCCCCTTCCGCCCACGCCTCTGGTGCAATCCCTCCAGACCGCTAACGGCTCTGGAATTTGTCTGTGATACCGCCCACAGTTGCATGCGATTTCAGCTGTGCTGGAGTTCGGGGAGTACCTGCTAGTAAACTATGTTCCTGATATCTGTGACCAGATAAGCACAATGTCTCCCAGGCTGACCCAAACCCACTAGGTGACCCGCCGAGAGGGGAGGGAGCTCATCCTCCTGGCACAACAGTGAGTTCTCCACTTGCATTTCAGCAGTGGTGTGCATGCCTGCCTGCACCCAGGAGACCCAAATTACCGACAAAATCAGCTGCTGGAGGCAGGTCCCTGGGGCTGGGCCCTGGGTTGTTGGAGTGGTCGCTGGTATGTTGGTATACGGTGTCTTCTTTCTTGGCTCACAAGGATCTCAGGTGGCCACCCTCACCCGCCAGTCAGTGACTGCTCCCAGGAAATTTCCAATGGCCTCTTGGCTATCCGTCCATCCTCCACCAGCTAGCTCTTTCTTAAATAATCTCCCTGTCTTTCCTCTAATTCTACTCTTCTGTGTTTGGTGTACTCTGATTCAGTGAGCTGTTCAGAGCCCCAAAATCACTAATTCAAACTGCTGTACCTAGTTTTTCAAGCACTTAGATGGTAGAGGGAAATAGCATGGTACTTACTGATGAGACTCCATTTTGAATCCTTGATACTTGCTTTCTTTTATTCAAAATTATGGGCAAAATATGTAAATATAGTTCATTCATTTTTAACAGCTAGTTAGTATTTTCCTATGAATATGCCACAATTTGAGCTCTGGTAGCATAGTGCCTAAGGCACTTGACTGCTAACCAGAAGTCTGGCTGTTCAAACCCACCAGCCACTCTTCAGAAGGAAGATTGGACAGTCTACTTCCATAGTGATGTTGTTGTTGTTGTTATGTGCCATGGATTCGGCCCCGACTCATAAAGACCCCTCCTTGGGTTTCTGAGGCGGTATCACTACAGAAGTAAATTGCCCAACCTTCCTTCCGAGGAGTGGCTGGTGGATTTGAACTGGCAGTCTTCTGGTTAGCAGTCAGGTGCCTTAGGCAGTATGCTACCAGAGCTCCTAAATCTTTTCGGAAGTAGATTGCCCGGTCTTCCTTCCATGGAGTGCCTAGTGGGTTTGAACCACCAACCTTCTGGTTAGCAGTCAAATGCCTTAGGCACTATGCCAGAGTGCGTTATGGTATACCACCTTGGAAACCCAAGGAGGGGTCACTATGAATTGGGTCTGGCTTGATGGCACATAACAACAACAACATCACAAGTAGTGTTGGATTAACTATCTTTATACACATCTTGTTTTGCATAAGTGAGAGGATTTCTTTTATGCTTTATACTTAGAATAGTTAGACTAGTCATGCATTTTCAACTTTATTAAATATTGCCAAATTATTGTTAAATTGCTTACATCAACAGTTTGTGAAAAGTACTGTTTTTTCATGTCTTTATCAGTTCTTGGTTTTGTCAGTGTTTCATTTTTGCTAGTCTGATAGAGTGAAAATTTTATTTTTATGTTGATTTCCCAGATTATTAGTGAAATTGAGCTCCTTTTCAGATGTGTATTAGCTATTCATCTTTCTTTTTCTGTAAATTGCCTGTTCAGATCCTTTGCCCATTTATCCATTGTTGTTTTTTTCTTACCTTTTTTTTTTATTTGGAGTGATCTTTCTAAATATTTTCTGAGAAAATAAGGTGACTGTATTTTGTTACCATCCAGTGCCAAATAACAGAATTTACTTCTAATTTTTTAAACTAGATTTTCTTGAATAAAGATCTTTTCTTACAATTTATTAACTCAACTCTCATGTAGATTATGACATTCCTAATTTTTCTTTTAATTTCTATTGTAATTTAGGTAAAAGTTTACAGAACAAATTCATTTTCCATACAGTAGTTCATATACATTTTGTTTCATGACATTGACTGCAGTCCCCACACTGTAACAACTCTCTTCCCACTTCCTCCCTATAGTTACCTCTTCCCTGAGTCCTTCTTCCCTATGCATTCCTGCACCCTGAGCTATCTCCCTGTGTAATCACTGCCTTTCTACTCTCCCATGATAGTTCTAAGGAGTGTATCTACTCATACTCACTGCCATTGAGTCGTTCAACTCATAGCAACTCCTCCTTGGATTTCCAAGGCAGTATCTCTACAGAAGTAGATTGCCCAATCTTCCTTCTGAGGAGTGGCTGGTGGTTTGAACTGCCAGCCTTCTGGTTAGCAGTCACGTGCCTTAGGTACTACCTGCTATAAATGTTCACCCTGTATGCCTGTCTGTTGTTTGACTGGAAGCCACGGGAGTGAGTTCAATTCCAGGCCTGAAGGGTAACTAAGGGCCATAGTCTTAGGGGTTTCACCAGGCTCTGTCAGACCGGTTAACCTAGTCTTTTTTATGATTTTGAGTTGACATCCTTAATTTTTGTTGTTAGTTCTTATCAAGTCACCTCTGACTCATGGTGACCTTATATATAACAGAATGAAATATAGTCCAGTCCTGCACCATCTTCCTGATTATTGGTATATTTGAGTCTGTTGTTGTGGCTGTGTGTCAGTCCACCACACTGAGGGTTTCCATCATTTTTGCTGGCTTCTACTGAGCCAAACATGAGATCCTTTTCTGGCAGTTAGTCTTTAGTGATGATGTGCCCAAGGTAAGTGAGCTAAAGTTTCGCCATCCTCACTTCTAAGGAGCTTTCTGGTTGTATTTCTTTTAAGACTGATTTGCTTGTTCTTTTATCATCCCATGGTATATTCCTGGATAGTGCAATCAGTTAGCTCATTTGGTTGCTAACTGAAAGATTGGAGGTTCAAGACAACCCAGAGGTACCTTGGAAGAAAGGCCTGATGAAAATTAGCCATTGAAAACCCTATGGAGCACAGTTCTACTCTGACACACATGGGGTGACCATGAGTCACAATTGACTCAACAGTGACTGGTTAGCTGGTTTAGTCCTTAATACTTGCTGTCAGTATGGGTCAAGGAGGAAAGGTACAAAAGATGAAGTAAAATCAAAATAAAAAGTTTCTTGCCTTGTTAGCTTTAATAAAATATTTTTTGGCAAAAAGTAGAGAATATGGTTACAGGGTTTTTTGTTTGGGTTTTTTTTTTTTTTTTTTTTTTGATGACTTCCATGGCTCAAGCCATAGCCTTTCAGTAGTCTCATAGCGTGCAAAAGCTGAACAGTGTAAAAGAAAAGACAGAAGAATTCAAATTGTGGTGTTGGCAAAGAATATTGAATATACCGTCGACTGCCCAAAGAACAAACAAATCAGTCCTAGAAGAAATACAATTACAATGCTCCTTAGAAGTGATAAAAGTACTTCCACTCACCTACTTCAGACATATCATCAGAAAAGCAGTCGCTACGAAGGAAATCATGTTTGGTAGAGCATCAGTGAAATGACGAAAACCCTCAGTGAAGAAGATTGACACAGTAGCTACAACAATGGACTAAATATACCAACAGTTGTAAAGATGGCTTAGGACTGGGCAATGTTGCATTCTGTTACAGATAAGATTGACTTAAGTCACAGCCAGCTCAACACCAACTAACAATAAGATATATACATTTATTTTTATAGTACATGTTTTTAAATATACCATCCATTCTAACTTCCCATATTGTTCCTATATTCTCATCTTATCTAATAATAGTAGTAGTATTGTAAATATATAACTGGGGCTGGAATACTTCTTTTGAGATGGTGATTGTCAAGCCATACATTCTACCTAATTGACTATTTCCTGTTGTAAATAACAAGCATAAAAAAACGATACTTCTCTGATGCAGATGTCATAAACCTGATTTTATCTAGAGATAGAAGATTTACTTATTTAAGTATAAGGATCCTTTAGTAAATTTGATCTTCCTGTCTTTCAGATTAACAAATAAAAATATTATACACAAACCTGCAGAATGGACCTTAATTGCTATGGTGTTGCTGTCATTGTAAGTACTATGTTGGATTTTAGCTCTAAATATTAAATATGAAGAATTTTGACTAGAAAAAATGACTGATTTTTTAAATTACCTTGGGAAAATTTGTACCTCTTTTTTTTCTGACTTACCTTCCTTCATGATAAGAGTAACTTTAATGTAAAGTGATACATCATATTTTGATTAGCTATAATCATTCTCTTGGTATTTTTTCCATCCTTTCTTCTGAGGGTCTGTTCTTTGCAATTACTGTTTGTTACCTTTTGAAAGAGAAGAGTATCCCCATGTGGAAAATTTTTTTTAGAATATTCCTTCAGTTTTATTATTAGCAGAGCATTTTATTACCTCAAATGGGCCTCATTCTTTGTTCGTATTTTTACCAACATATCTAATGGTATTTCATTTTTCTTCAATGTATTTTATCATTAATAGCATCATAAAAGTTTCATTTTCCAAATTAATGTACATCTTTAAAATCAAACATTTAAAAGAATGAAAGTATATGCTCACTGCACAATGTATATAAAGCATTTAATACTCATTAACCTTTTAAGAAATCACAAATGGTTTTTAAGGCTGCCTTTCAATAGTGTTAAACCATCACTGACACCCGTAGGACACTGATTATTTAGCAGACACTTACAGGTCAAGGAATGTTACGAGCCAACCTCATAGCTAGCTTCTCCAACCATGCTTTCCCTTTCTTTGATACTACTTTAGTCTGACATGTTATTCTGCCTTCATTGTCCCGAGGAAGGCTATGCTGGAAGGAATTAGAATAAGCTTCATTGAGCCAGCATCTGTGTCACCCAACCAGATACAGCTCACATTATTCATTAAATCAGAACACAGAAAATAACTTTACTTGAATGCCCTGATATAAATTTTTTATCAACTGTAATAACAAATCTTTTGTCATTTCTGCTATTCTGTGTTCCACTTGAATTGGTAAGTTGTGAAACAGATCTTACTAATTTTTTAGAAAGTTCTTTTCATACACACACACACACATACACATATATATGATACTGCCTCGGAAACCCAAGGAGGGGTCGCTATGAGTCGGGTCCAACTCGACGGCACATAACAACAACAACAACAATATATATACTCACTCACCTGTATCCTATGCCTGCTAATAAACCCTCACAGACAACTGTTTAACTATACTTCTGCAATTCGTTATACTTAAGGGGAAGTAACTTTTTTGGTTGACATGTCACAAGCCTAAGCCCAGCATTAACCTCAGAATCCTACTTTCTGTGCCAGTGACTGGATGTATTATCTTCATGAGCAGCTGCTTACTGAGGGCATATGTAGATCCTACTGTTCTTTTATCAAACCATTGCCACATCTCTAAAATGTACAGCAAGGAACAATAAAACTATGGACAATGAAATAATATAGGCTACATTAAAATTTCATTGATGATTATTCCATACAAAAGTAAGCCTCTAGTGTTTGACTGTAATAGAGGCACCCAGGTGGCACAAAATGCTGAAAGCTTTGCTAGTCCTTTTGTCCACTATTTGACTTCCTTAACTTTGGATATCATGTAGGCAACCTCTTATTTCAGTGATCAGTGACCCATAAAAATAGTAACTTAACTGAATTGAATTCAAGAAACAAACTCTACAGTCTTAGGTGTATTGTGTGTTTCACCTTGTGCAGTCAGTCTTGAGGTTGTAGCAGTAAACTGTCTCCACTGGCTGTTTCCTCTCACTTGTAGTTCACAATTACTTTATAGACAGGAAGAAAGACATTTTGTCACTGGGGAAAGAAAAAGCAGGCATGAAGGCCAATGATAGATAAAGAGCCTTACACACAGTAAGAAACATGGAGACTTTAGCCACCAGAGATAAATACAGATACAAAAAACAACACACACACACATTATGGAGCAGTAACCACATCTTTCAACCTTTTAGCTATTGCCACTAAAATTGAATACAGGCATGCATAAATTAATTAGTTTTTGGTAGTTATCCTATGATTCAGAAAATCTTCACTTCTCTCAAATGTTTTAATTGTAACTTTTAGACATTTCTGGAATTTGTAAATAAATGAACTTTTTATAAGTCTTTATAGCTAAGGAAAGGTTCTGAATGGCAGTTATAGTCACTGAAGATGAGTAGAATAACTTAATATTTTCAGTGTTAATATAGCAGTAGTAATACTCTTTGTACATAGATATTGCCAATTTTTTTTGTTATAATTAGTATTTTTTTAATTCTGTTTTCAAAATTCCTCTTGAGAACCATTTAGAAAAGCATACACACACACACACACATCATTGTATTAGTATGTTGATATGCTGGCTCAAGTCTAACTCTAGTTAGGGGACAAAATCAACATTTTGAGCAAAACGTGATATCTAGAAAAACAGAAATGGCCTTGAATTTATAACATCTCTAGTCTTAAAAGTAAAGTGTTTCTGTAGCAAGTCATCTTTTCCTAGTGACTTCCATTACACTTTCATAGTTGCATTAACATTAAAAAAAATTGGACCACAATATATAATTTATCAGTGTATATTGATGGTAATTTTAAACTCATATAATCTCAGAAAGAAATTGATTGAATAGAGTAGATATACTTGATCTTTGCACACTCAGTGAAATAATCTGTGTATAAAAATATGTCATGACCCATTTCTACTTCATTTAGATTTGGCCAGTGTGACTGCAACATTTGTTGATATTTATACTATGTATTCAGACCCTCACTGGTTGCCAAGAGCCACATGATATGGAAAGACTCTTTAAACCAGAGCTTCGGTGGCATACTGTTATTTAACAGTATAGCAATTAGTATCCCTTTAGTCCTCTCAGTTTTCTTTAGCAAATGATAGAGTTAAAAATTCTCAAGAACTTCTTGCTCTAGAAAGACATCTGTAGTATTAATTATTGATTGAACCAGTGTTTTTGATTTTTAAGAGTAGATTAAAAGTATGTACAAACTGACTTGGTAATTGTGAAATGTATAGCTTAAGCACTTGGCTATAGTAATTTTGTGTCTTAATTGAACTTACTCAGACTTTACACATACATCAAGTTTTGTTCTATAAAGGATACTATATGATGAAATAATGCAAAGTTGAATCTGATTTTCCCAAAGAAATAATGCTCTAATAAGATACTAGGGTCTTTCCACAGTCCTTACACATGACTTTTAATAGAAATGTATATAAATATTCTACTGCTGTCTGCCAGTTGCCATTGAGTTGACCCCAACTCATGGCAATCCCTTGTGTATCAGAATAGAACTGTGCTTCATAGGGTTTTCAATGGCTGATTTTTTTAGAAATAGATTGCCAGCACTTTCTTCTGAGGTGCCTCTGGATAGACTTGAACCTCCAACGTTTCAGTTAGCAGCCAAGCATGTTACCCATTTGTGCTACCCAAAACTGCCATTGAATCAGTTCCCACTCATAGCAACCCCCATTGGGTTTCCAAGGCTGTACATCTTTACAGAGTAGATTGCCTCATCTTTGTCCTGTGGAGCAGCTAGTGGGTTTGAAGCACCAGCCTTCTGGTTAGCAGCCAAATGCCTTACCTACTGTGCCACCAAAGCTTCTTATTTGCACCACCCAGGGACTCCCACAAATACATATAGACTGCTGTAAGTATTGTGGAGTCCCTGGATAGTGCATGTGATTTACATACTTGGCTGCTAACCAAAAGGATGGAGGTTCAAGTCCACCCAGAGGCACCTCAGAAAAAAGGCCTGACAGCTTACTTCCAAAAACTCAGCCAGTGAAAATTTTATGGAGTACAGTTTTACTCTGACATCGTGGGTCACCATGACTCGGAATTGACTCAATGGCAGCTGGTTTACTGTTGTTGTTGTTAGGTGCCATCAAGTCAGCTCTGACTCATAGCAACCCTATGTACAACAAAACGAAACAGTCCTGCACCAACCTCACCATCCTTGCTCTACCTGAGCCCATCTTTGCATCCACTGTGTCAGTCCATCTCATTGAGGGTCTTCCTTCCCCTTTTTGCTGACCCTCCACTTTACCAAGCATGGTATCCTTCTCCAGGGAATGGTCCCATCTGACAACATGACCAAAGTAGGTGAGATGAAGTCTGGCCATTCTCGCTTCCAAGGAGCATTCCGGCTGCACTTCTTCCAGGACATTCTTTTGGCAGTCCATGATACTTCAGTATTCTTTACTGGTAACTAGTGTTTTATGATGCATTATATATTTATTTTTGTATTGTTCATAATTCCCATTTTATTCTTAACATAGGATACTAGAAAGTGAGGTATCACTATTTTTCATAGTCATAGTGTTCAGAATAATTTGAGAAGATTTTGTTGGTATTTTGAGATTTTATAAGCATAGGACATCTCCCTCAGCTTTATACCTTTTCTTCTTTCCTTCTTCCCTTTGCTGTTAGTCTTTTACTGTCTTCTATGTCCTCTGTTACTATACTTGAGTCTTAAAATGAGAGGGTGTGTCAATGCTGACCTAAAGCTGAGAAACCAGGTGAAAGGTCCAGACCAAAGTGAAGCTATATAGAAGGCAATCAGGAAGCATACTGAGTGGCCCAAGTTCTTTTTTGTGCAACCCATGTGCCAGAAATGGAAATCAAGTTTTCTAAATGAGTACATATACTGAAAATGTAACTTTTCCACCCAAGTTTAATATGGAACTTTTGAAAAGAGGCCACTACTTTGTATTCTAATGGTGTATGATTAATTGTAGTATAGCCATCGAATGTCTTTTAGTGAGTGGCCAGGGCAAAAGATTTGTATTGTGTTTTATGGAACTATTTGGTTATCTAATGAAAGAGGTAAATATTTAATTTGTGTTACTTAGAAAGGATAGAGAGTTGAAAGTAGCTTGGGTTAGCTTACACAGATACTTGCTGCTCCTAGTGTTACGCCCTTAATGTTCTCTAATGGAAAGCTTTACAGATCATCTCCAAAAATGTCTGCTTTCATTTTATTTATCTGAACTGGCTGTTGCCAGTGAACTGTGGCCCACATCCTAGACAAAGACCATA